TGTAAAGAAGAACTCTTCCCCTCTTTACTACTTCATTACCCTAAAGTATAGTTCATACCAGAAAATCAGTAAAATACTTGATTATTTCCCATTATTTATCAATTTTCAGAAAAATAGGATGGTGTCCTAGCAAATTTGAAAGGTGACCAATGAGTTTTTGTTTTTTGAACTAATGAATTTAAAAAAATAATTTTTTGAGGTCATATTGGTTTATAACATTGTATATTTTCAAGTGTACATTGTTATATATCAGTTTCTGTATAGACTGCTTTGTGCTCACCACCAATAGTCTAGTTTTTATCTGTCACCATACATATGTGCCCCTTTGCCCTTTTTGCCCTCGACCCTCCCCCCTACCCCTTTGGTAACCACTAATCTGTTCTCTTTGTCCATGTGTTTGTTTATCTTCCACATATAAGTGAAATCATATGGTCTTTCTCAGTCTGGCTTATTTCACTTAACATAATTCCCTCAAGGTTCATCCATGTTGTTGTGAATGGGACGATTTTGTCTTTTTTATGGCTGAGTAGTATTCCATTGTATGTATATATATATGTATATATATATATACACATATACATATATACATATATATATATATGATCTGCATCTTCTTTATCCATTCATCAGTTGATGGGCACTTGGGTTGCTTCCACATCTTGGCTATTGTGAATAATGCTGCAATGAACATAGGGGTGCATAGATGTCTTTGTATTGTTGATTTCATTTTCTTTGAATAAATACCTAATAGTGGGATAACTGTATCATAAGGTATTTCTATTAATTTTTTGAGAAATCTCCATACTGTTTCCCACGGTGGCTGCATTAGTTTGCATTCCCACCAGCAGTTATGAAGGTTCCCTTTTCTCCACATCCTCTCCAACATTTGTAATTTTTTGTCTTGTTAATTATAGCCATTCTGACAGAAGTGAGGTGATATCCCATTGTAGTTTTGATTTGCATTTCTCTAATAATTAGTGATGTTGAACATCTTTTCATGTGCTTGTTGGCCATCTATATATCTTCTTTGGAAGGAAGATGTTCATATGCTCTGCCCATTTTTTGATTGGGTTTGTTTTTTGTTGTTGAGTTGTGTGAGTTCTTTATATATTCTGGAAATTAACTCCTTGTCAGATATATGATTTGCAAATATTTTCTCCCAGTTGGTGGGTTGTCTTTACGTTTTTGCTTTCTTTTTTTTTTTTTTTAAAGATTTTATTTTATTTTTTTCCTCCCCAAAGCCCCCTGGTACACAGTTCTATATTCTTAGTTGTGGGTCCTTCTAGTTGTGGCATGTGGGATGCCGCCTCAGTGTAGTTCAATGAGCAGTGCCTTGTCTGCACCCAGGAGTCGAACCAGCGAAACACTGGGCCATCTGCAGCGGAGTGTGCAAACTTAACCACTCGGCCACAGGGCCGGCCCCACGTTTTTTCTTTTTTTAAAGATTCGTACCTGAGCTAACATCTGTTGCCAATCTTCTTTTTCTTTTTTTTTTTCTTATTCTCCCCGAAGCCCCATAGTATATAGTTGTATATATTAGTGGTAGGTCCTTCTGGCTCTGCTGTGTGGGGTGCTGCCTCAGCATGGCCTGGGGAGTGGTGCTAGGTCCACGCTGAGGATCCACACCAGTGAAACTCTGAGCTGCAGAAGTGGAGTGCATGAACTCAACCACTCAACCATGGGCTGGCCCAGTGTCTTTTTGTTTTGCTGATACTTTCCTTTGCTTTGCAGAAGCTTTTTAGTCTGATATAGTCCCATTTGTTTACTTTTTCTTTTGTTTCCCTTGCCTGAGTAGACATGGTATTCAAAAAGATGCTGCTAAGACTGATGTCAAAGAGTGTACTTCTAGGACTTTTATGGTTTCAAGTCTTACATTCAAATCTTTAATCTATTTTGAGTTAATTTTTGTATGTTGTGTAAGATAATGGTCTACTTTCATTCTTTTGCATGTGGGTTTCCAGTTTTCCCAATACCATTTATTGAAGAAACTTTCCTTTCTCCATTGTATGTTCTTGGCTCTTTTGTGGAAGATTAGCTGTCTGTAGATGTGCGTTTTCTTTTTTTTAAGATTTTATTTTTCCTTTTTGTCCCAAAGCCCCCCAGAACATAGTTGTGTATTTTTTTAGTTGAGGGTCCTTCTAGTTGTGGCATGTGGGATGCCACCTAAGCATGGCTTGATGAGCAGTGCCATGTCTGCGCCCAGGATTCGAACTGGCGAAACCCTGGGCAGCAGAAGCAGAGCAGGTAAACTTAATTGCTTGGCCATGGGGCTGGCCCCCAGACGTGCAGTTTTATTTCTGGGCTTTCAGTACTGTTCCACTGATCTGTGTGTCTGTTTTTGTGACAGTACCATCCTGTTTTGATTACTATAGCTTTGTAGTATATTTGAAGTTAGGGATTGTGATACCTCCAGCTTTCTTCTTTTTTCTCAGGATTGGTTTGGCTATTTGGGGTCTTTTCTTGTTCCATATAAATTTTAGGATTCTTTGTTCTATTTCCGTAAAGAATGTCATTGGGATTCTGATTGAGATTGCATTGAATCTGTAGACTGCTTTAGGTAATACGGGCATCTTAATTATGTTTATTCTTCCAATCCATGAGCATGGAATATCTTCCCATTTCTTTATGTCTTCTTCTGTTTCTTTCAATAATGTCTTATAGTTTTCAGTATAGGTCTTTCACTTCCTTGGTTAAGTTTATTCCTAGATATTTTATTCTTTTTGTTGTGATTGTAAATGGGATTGTATTCTTGAGTTCTCTTTCTGCTGGCTTGTTATTAGTGTATAGAAATGCAACTGATATTTGTAAGCTGATTTTGTACCCTGCAACTTTGCTGTAGTTGTTGATTATTTCTAATAGTTCTGGTGGATTCTTTTGGGTTTTCTATGTGTAGAATCAGGTCATCTGCAAACAGCAAGAATTTTACTTCTTCCTTGCCTGTTTGGATACCTTTTAATTCTTTTTCTTGCCTAATTGCTCTGGTCCAAACCTCCAGTACTATGTTGAATTGGACTGGCGAGAGAGGGCACCCTTGTCTTGTTCCTGTTCTCATTTGGATGGCTTTCCTAATGAATTTTTATATATTGCATATGTTTCAGTGTATTGTATTCTTTATTCTTTTGATGTTAAAATTTTCCCACTTTTGGCCGGTGAGAACCCCTTTAAATTGGTTCCTGAGCCTTTTGACAAAAGCCAAGTTGCTCTTTAGCACAAGATATTGCAGGCTTACTCTGTACATTTCCTGCCCTACACCTTCCACCAGCCTTTCCACCAAGGAGCCTAGTTCCTTTTATTGGGAAATAATATTTAGGGAACATAATCTATGCACTAGGTTGCATTTGCTGCCCATATTTTGGTGTGTGTGTGAACAGAGCTGGGAAATAGATATTTTTTAGGAAGAGAAAAATATATAATGAGATCATATTGATATTTCCAATTCATATATGATTATAGAGTTTTAATTTAAACTTTTAAATTTTATATTTGTATCTCTTTTTTCTTATTCTAGAAATCTTATTTCCTAACAACATGAGCATAATTACTTATTTGCTTTCTCCTAATGTGAGTGCGTATACATATGTATGTATGTATATACATATGGGGGGGTGTGTGTGTGTGTATATACATACATGAATACTAAATGCAGATTAAGATTACTTTGACGTTCTTTTGTCCTAGAATATATTCCTCTAGTGATTAAAGTAAATACTGTGTTTTGAAGTCACAGTATTATTTGTTTTGGTGTGGTTATGAAGCTAATGTGAAATATAGTTAAGGTTTATTTTCTTTTATTTGCTTTATACTTTTCAGGATTGACTTGTGAGTTAATTGTTTTATGATTATGTAAAACATTTACTTGGTTCCAAAGTTCAAACTCTGAAACTAGGTACAGTCAGAGAGGTTTAGCATTCATCTCTGTCTCCTCTATTCCTTCCCTCCTCCTTAAGGACAACCATTTTACTTTGTTTTTGGTTTATCCTTTCTTCTTCTTGTTTTGAAGACGTAAGCAAGAATGCAGATGTTTTTTTAACATTGCCTTTCTTACATAAAGGAAGTATACTGTAAACACTGTTCTGCACCTTGTTTTTTTCACTTAACAATATAGCTTGGAAATCATTCCACAGAAGCATATATGGAGAACTTCCTCACTCTTCTACTGCTGGGTAGTGCTTGTTTGTGTGGATATGTGATAGCATTCCTTTCTTTTTCTTCCCCACTCTGCTTCTGTCCCTCACTTTCTTCCTTCCTTTCTTTCTTCCTTTTAAAAAATTGCTGCAATGAATTGCCTTGGGCATATATCACTTTTTACTTTTGCTAGTTTATATCTGGAGTAGATTTCTAAAAGTGAGTTTGCTAGGTCAAAGGGTAAATACATACACATATATATGTATAATGTATATATGTGTGTGTGTATATGTATGAAAAATGAGCAAAGAAGAGTGTTTGGGCTTTTCTGTATTTTTTGATTTGTGATTTTGCTAGTCTGTCCACCATGTCCCCAAATGTACTCTTAGTCTATGTGTATTGGATGCTTCGAATGTTCCTTTTATCTTTGTAATATTTTATTTTTTCCTTCAATTTGTTTCTTGAGTTCTTTTATCTTGTTTTTCATTCCCTCATGATGTTTTATTATCTCTTTTTTGAATCTTGTAGCTCTTCTTGAGTTCTTTTTAAAAGAGAGAACTTGTGTATATGTGTGTATGTATTTATATTTGAGTCCACATATAACTATTTCACTGAACTCTTCTTCTGTTTCCTTCATTAATTCTTGTTTTTATGAATTTTTTGGATTCCTCCTCCTCTTCTTCGTCTTCTTTCTTTTTCTTTTTTTGCAGTTTTTATGTACAGTTCCCATTACTTTGTATGTCACCAGTCATTTCTTGAAGAACAGCATAGGGAGGATCAGGGCTTGAGTGGGAATGAATTGAGGTAGCTGGCAATTTTTAATCCATGTGTGATATTGAATATTTTCTCACTAACGTTATTTCCTTTGCCTCTAGGAAAAGTTTTCTTTCAGTGGTTGCTGCTCCAAAACTCAATATGCTTCACGGCAAAGTCCTTTAAGTCGCAGACTATCAGCATTGTGAACAGGTGATTCAACATCCCTTCCTTCCTTTACTCCGCTTGACCTCTACCAGCTCCCCGGCCAGGCGGGCTTCATTATAGACGGAAATGGCAGTCATCATGCTAATTCTGCCCTGCCACTCTTGTGATCCTATAGTGTCAAACTAGGTCTTTAGAAAGATATCCCTTTTATTCTCTATCTACACCCTACATCTTAATATTCTAATCAAAGAACTCTTGGATAGGAATTTCAGGATTGTGGCACTTACTTTTAGAGAAAATTATTTCCCAGTGAGTTGTATATAGACTTTCACCATCCCTTTTTTAAAAAATTTTATTTGGTTATGATTTCACTGTATTTCTTTATTCGTAATTTGAAGTAATGACAAGTTTCCTTGAAGATGGTGGTTTTAATTTTAATCTTTTTTTGTTTTCCATTAGTTTTGATGGAAGGAAGTAACATAAGCATGCATTTACTCTAGCATACATTGTAAGAAATCCTGGGAGACAATAGGATGATGATTGAGGGTTTTAAGCAGGGCATTAGTGTAGCATTATCTTATTTTGTATTAGAGAAATCACTTTGGGAACAGTTTGGAGAATAAATTGGAGGAGTGAAAAACTAGAAGCAGGGAGACCAGTTAGGGTATCATTACTGAGCTAAGGAAGTAGTAGATGGGATTGGAGAGGAAATGGCCAATATGAGAAGAGTTAAGGGGATAAAAGTAATGTGATTTTTCCACAATGTGAAGGACAGGCAGAACAAAAGAAAATATTCCAGCATTGTGTTCAAGTGACTGTGTTGGGTGCCCAGCTATATAGCGTTGTGATTAATCTAGATCAGAACTGAAGATGGTGCAACACGTTTTGGGGAAAAGATCATGAGTTCAGTTTTGAGGTGCTTGTGAGATGGCCTGATGGGGAATGGATCTGGGGGCTCTGAAGCTCAGGTGAGAGGTCTTGACTGTAGACAAAGTTTTGTGAATCAGAGATTCTAGGTTGAATTGAAGCTCTAGGATGAGATTGCTCTGAGAGAACAATGTAATGTGAGCAGAGGATCAGATGTAAGGGACTGAACCTGGGGTGAGACACCTACTTTTGAGAGAAGGTAGTAGATAAGGAGGAACCAGCAAAAGACAGTGGGGAAGAAGGATCAGAAGGGTAGGGGAGAAGCATGAAAGTGATATTTTGAGGCCAGAAAAGTTTTATTTCCTGTTTAGTGAATACTTAGCATGCAGGATGAGAGATGTTAAATAGGGTTAATAGGTATATAGTCAGATCTCCTGGAGAAACTTTTAAAAAGTAGTGGTAAAATAGTGAATTTGTTGGTTGGATTGAAAGATTCTGGCACAGACTTTTTTTTTCTTAAAGATTGGTACCTGAGCTAACAGCTGTTGCCAATCTTCTTTTTTCTTTTCTTTTTGCTTTTTCTCCCTGAATCCCCCCAGTACATAGTTGTGTTTTTAGTTGTGGGCCCTTTTAGTTGTGGCATGTGGGATGCTGCCTAAGCATGGCCTGAGGAATGGTACTATGTCCGCACCCAGGATCTGAACTAGTGAAACTCTGGGCGGCCAAAATGGAGCACCGAACTTAACCACTCGGCCACTGGGCTGGCCCCCCGGGCCCAGACTTTTACCAACTCTCTTCAAGAAGTATGGAAGAGTGGAAAAGCAGGAGGCAGAGGAGAAGCTGAAGTTCTCAAGACAGTTACATACATACAGTTTTCCCAAGTGTAATAGATTTATGGAAAAATGAATATAGTGTTTTCGAAAACTTTGATCTCATTTTCTTTATTTTGATAAGCACGTTCTTATTTATTTCTAGTTAATCAGAGAACAAAGAAGAAATGGGAGTTTTTTGGCTTCAAACTGAGGTTGACAAGAATTCCACTTCCTTTACCATTCTTTTTGATCTCTGCCTTTCAAAAATACCAGACCTTGGGAGAATTCACATATATTTGAGCTGTCTTAGAATATCATGGAATAGAACCGACCCATAGGCCCACTGGACTTGCAGCAAGAAAAGTCAATGTCACTTTCAGGGTGTCTATGAAGGACATGTTACTTCTGCCCTGGCTGCTTAAACTTGATGTCTTATAGCTGAAGGTTATTCTTGTTCTGGGTGATTCAATGAAATCTTCTCTGAGGTCTCACATATTAGATTATCTTCTTCTTAAATTTCAATTGGACTAATTTAGTTCTTTGGCTTTTTAAATTACACGTAGGTAACCTTCATGCTGGGCTTATCTGAAATAGGATCTCATAGGGTTTGTTTCTGGTGTAATTTTTATATGGTACAAAATGTCCTTAAATTGGAAGGCACTGCTACACAGAATAACCATGGGGCATTTCTGTCCTTTCTCCCTACTGCAATTTTGAAAATGTGTGCTATTATGAAATATAGGGTGAGCTTTTAGTATGAACTGACATTTTATAAAATAACATGAAAGGTATGTTATCAGGAGAGGGGTAATGAGATCATCTTGTTAAATTCTTATATACAATGTTTCTTTTCAGTTAAATCAGAAACTGAATTATAACTTTTTGCTTTCTCTATTTTGGAGGGAGATTAGACTTGACTAGCCATTCACAATAAGAGGGACCTAATATAAGACCTAAACATAAGTAGAATCTGTTATTTTCCTTTGTTTTATTTCATATTGGTTAAGGCAATCTCTTGGGGGTTTTCGTTTGTGGTTTTTTGTTTGTTTGTTTGTTTCACTATTTTTGCAGCTCTCATCTAGGTTGTGTATGTGAGGAAGCAAGTTTTATTTTGGTTACTATGGCTAGAGTAAGCAAATGTTTTAATTTAATTTAATTTTGTTTGGGTCTGCTCATAAAGAATCCATAAAACTCATAATTTTTGCAGGGGAGGGGCTCAATTTGATTATTTTTCAAAGAACTGACAGTAAGGTGACTATTCAAAGGTTTAATGAAGAGAACTTCAAATGCTTCTGGGAAGCTTTTTAAGGTTTGAATTAAAACATGCTAAAGATACTTACTTTTTATTATAAAATGTAACATTGTTTTGTCCTGTTGAAACCCAGACTTCTTGGAAGCTAAGGAAATAAAAAGTGCAGGCTCTCGAGTATCCTGATATGCAGTGCATTTAACAGTTGTGGCCCTAATGCTGGAGCATAACTTTTATGTACCACTCTGGAATTGATTTCAAAGGGCTCAAGATCGTTTGTGAGGCTGTTGTGCATTAGACATTTTTTAAAAAGTGTATTTAGGCATATTGCATTTCTAATTAATGCACATGTAGGAAATATGCCTTAGATTTTGAAGGCAAGAGATCTAATAAAATGAAGTACCAGAGGGGAGCTTTGTTTTAAACTCTTTTGTTATGGGAACAAACAATGAAAGCACCCTTGAACAATAATTACAAGCTGTATAGATGAAAGAGAGATGTTTATCATTACTGTAGACAAGTAGACTCTGCTCTCCTACTGAAAAGGGGATAATAACGTCAACTAATATTTGTTGAGCTCTTGCTAGGTGTCAGAGACATGGGCTAAGTTGTGGCTTTTATACGGATTTTCATATTTAACCTTCAAGATCCTTTTGAGGAGGGTAGTAGTATTATTGTATAAGTGAGGAAACTGATGTTTAGGGAAGTTCAGTAACTTGTCTAAAGTCACCAGTGAACAGGGAACAGAGCTTGTATTCTCGCCTAGGCAGTCCAACTTTAAAGCCAATGCTTTTAATTACTGAGATCCAGTAGTGATGAGATGTAGGAGAAGTTAGACCTTTAGCAGACGGTCGGGGCAGCAGGGTGTCTCTCACTGGCTGCTGCATATTACCCTGTGAGGGGCTGAGTAGAGCCGAAATCTAGCCCTTCCTCTGCTGGGCAAACTGGGGGCCTTCCTGCTCACACCTGCAGGGCTGTGTCTACTCAGAGAGTGGCACTGTTTTCTAATTCATTTGCCAAGAAGGGGCATGTTTTTCTAATTCACTCAAAGGCAAATCTTAATTCTATCAACCTCCTCTGAGTATCACTTGCAAAAATCCTTTGACTCTGACCTGCCTCTTCCCAGTCTGCTTGTTCCTTTGGTGGTCTCATGCCATCCACCTTTATGCTGACAACTCTAACATTTATATTTTTATCCCAGATGTCTCTTTCAAACTCTGCTCTTGTATATCCAACTGTCTACTTAACATCTTCACTTGGACGTCTAATATGTGTCTCAAATTTATCATGTCCCAAACTGGACTCTTCATCTTCCCGACTCTCTGGCAGTTGCCCCACCTCAGTTAATGGCAACTCCATCCTTCCAGTTGCTCCAGACTAGAAAACTTAAAGATATCTTGAATTCTCTTTCTCCTGTATCCAATCTGTCAAGAATTCCTATTGGCTCAACTGTCAAAATATATCTGTAATCCGACCACTTCTGTCCACTTCTGTTGTAACCACTCAGGTCTAAGCCATAATGCTCTCTCATCTGGATTGCTCCAGGAGCCTCTCAGTGGTATCCCTACTTCGGCCCTTGCCTGATATACTTCATTTTACTTACAAGAGTGATCTTCCAAAATACAAACCAGGTCTTGTTTCTCTAGTGCTCAAATCCCTGCAGTATTTCCCATGGGGCTCAACATCATCTGCAGTGCCCCCAACGGCTGCCCCACCATTACCTTTCTGACCTCTCTTACTACGCTCTTTGTGGCTCACCCCACCCTACTCACACTGGCCTCTTGGCTGTTCTGCAAACATGCCAACACTCTCCTGTCTTAAGGTTTTTGCTCTGTTGTGTCTGCCTGGAAGGCTCTTCCTCCAGGTATCTGCTTGGGTAATTTTCTCACCTCTTCAAGTCTTTGCTCAAATATCTCCTTTTCAATGAGGCTAATCTTGATCTTCTTTAATACTGCAATCTACTCCACACTTCTCTATCACCAAATCCTACTTACTCTGTTCTACTTTTTCTTTTTTCCATAGCATATGCCATTTTCTAATTACTGAACAGTTTTCTTTTTATGATGTTTATTGTTTTTGTTCTCCCCTTTCCATAACTGGCTCAAGGTAGAAACTCA